TTAAGGGATTAAAGACACACACACTGCAAAAGAAAAGTGGCAAGTGAATTCTAACAGTTGAAAAGGGGTTCAGTTTCAGCTCTACAACCTTGATACACAATGCGAAGTCTGCGGGCCAGAAGCACAGGCAACTGGTTATAAATGGAGAATCTCATGCCCCACCCGAGACCTATTTAATCAGAATATGCATTTCAATTAAATCCTAATGATTTGTATGCACTTTATAGTTTGAGGAACACGGCTTTAGAAAGATCTTGCAAATCAAGATGAACAGATTTCTTTCTCCTACCCCCATTCACAAAGAAAGATAATGGGCTCACATCAATGTACAAACAAACAATTTCTCAGGCTTGGAAAAAAGAATATATACCAAAATGTTAGCTGTGGTTGAAATTTTTTTTCTTTACTTCTCTTTTATTTTTACATCTCTATTTTCTAATTTTTCTACAACCAACACTTTATTCAATTTGTAACAATAATAAAAAATTACTCCTTGAATAAATGTAGAAAGCCTTAACTCAGTATTTAATTTAGCTAATTGGAAGTTTGAGTGGTTAGATTTTTTTCTGAAACACTCTTGGTTTTAAAGTAGAAATGGAATTAGATCATTTGTGTTTAATGACGTCTTACTTGGAATGTCAAATAATGACAAAATAATATAATCAAACACCTACAGTTTACTTACTCTGTGCCTGACTGTGTGCTAATTCTTTTTTTTTATTTTTTATTGTACTTCAGGTGAAGGCTTATAGAACAAATAGTTTCTCATGAAACAGAAGTACACATGTTATTTTATGACATTGGTTAACAACCCCACAACTTCTCAACCCTCTAACTTCTCAACCTCTTTTTTTTTTGTGAAAATACACATAGCCAAAGATACACCATTTCAAAAATTTCTACATGCACAGTTCAGTGACACTGACTACCCTCTTCAAATTGTGCTGTTATTCTCACTTAAGATGAAGGCTTACAGAACAATAGTTTCTCATTTAACAGTTACTACAAATGTTGCCCTATGACAATGGTTAACAATCTCACAACACATCAACAATATCCTTACTCAACCTTGGGTTCCCTATCACTAGCTTCCTTGTCCCCTTCTGCCTTCTGGCCCTTGTCACTGGACTACTGTACCTCGTTAGTCTCATTTGGTTTTATGGGGCTGTCCACTTCCAGGCTGAACAGTGAACCTTGGAGGTAACTTCACCACTGAGCTAAAACGGTGTCTGGGGGCCATACTCTCAGGGTTTCTCCAGTCTCCTTTAGGCCAGTAAATCTGGTTTTTTTTTTTTTTTGTGAGTTAGAATTATGTTCTACATCCTTCTCCAGCTCTGTGCAGAACCCTCTGTTGTGATCCTGGTCAGAGCAGTCAGTGGTGGTAGCCGGGCACCATCTCCTGTACTGGACTCAGTCCGGTGGAGGCCTTGGTAGCTGTGGACAATTAGTCCTTTAGACTAATCTTTTCCTTGTATCCTGTTCTCTTCATTCTCCGTTGCTCCCAAAGGGATGAGACCAGTGGAGTATCTTAGATGGCTGCTCACAGGCTTTTAAGACCCCAGACATTACTCACCAAGGTGGAATGTAGAGCATTGTCTTTATAAGCTGTGTTATGACAATTGAGCTAGATGTTCCCCGAGACCATGGTCCCCAGAGCCCTCTGCCCAGCAATTCAGTCCCTCAGGGAGTTTGGATGTGTCTATGGGGCTTCCATGATTGTGTGCTAATTCTCATTTAGAATTATCTCATTTAAACAGACACATCACCAAAGAAGATGGGGCTAACAGACTTGTGAGAAAATGCTCAAGATCATTAGCCATTAGAGAAACGCAAATCAAAATTACAATGAGATACCATCTCACCTCCACATTACTGGCACTAATAAAAAAGAAACTGAAAATAACAAATGTTGGAGAGGTTGTAGGGAGTTCAGAACTCTTATGCACCACCAGCACTCTTATTCCCACCAGCAGGTGGGAATGTTAAAGGGAATAAACACTATGGAAAACGATATGGCGCCTCCTTAAAAAGCTAGAAATAAAAATACCATACGATCCAGCAATCCCACTCCTAGGAATATATCCAAGAGAAATAAGAGCCGTCACACGAATAGACATATGCACACCTAATGTTCATTGCAGCATTATTCACAATAGCAAAAACATGGAAACAACCTAAGTTCCCGTCAGCAGATGACTGGATAAACAAATTATGGTACATACACACCATGGAATATTACACAACAATAAAGAACAATGATGAATCCGTGAAACATCTCATAACATGGATGAATCTGGAGGGCATTATGCTAAGTGAAATAAGTCAATCACAAAAGGGCAAATATTGTATGAGACCACTATTATAAACACCAAAGAAAAGGTTTACACACAGAAAAAAACAATCTTTGATGGTTATGAAGGAGGGGAAGGATGAGGAGTAGAAAGCACTAACTAGATAATAGACAAGTGTTAACTTTGGTGAAAGGAAAGACAACACACAATATAGGGGAATTCAGCACAGCTTAGCCAAGGCAAAATCATAGAAGCTTCTGAGACACATCCAAACACCTTGAAAGACTGAGTTACTGGGGCTGAGCGCTGGGGACCATGGTCTCAGGGGACATCTAGGTCAATTGGCATAACATAGTTCATAAAGAAAATGTTCTACATCCAACTGTGGTGAGTAGCGTCTGGAGTCTTAAAAGCTTGTGAGCGGTCATCTAAGATACATCTATTGGTCCCATCCCATCCAGAGCAAAAGAGAATGAGGAAAACCAAAGACACGAGAAAAATATTAGTCTAAAGGATTAATGGACCACATGAACTACAGCCTCTACCAGCCTGGGTCCAGAAGAAATAGATGGTGCCCAGCTACCATCACCTACCGCTCTGACAGGGATCACAACAGAGGGTCCCGGACAGAGAGGGAGAAAATTGTAAAAATTAAAAGTCACACACACAAAAAAAACCAGACTTACTGGTCTGACAGAGACTGGAGGAAACCCTGAGTCTACAGCCCGCGGACACCCTACTAACTCAGAACTGAAGCCATTCTCGAAGTCCACCTTTCAGCCAAACATCAGACAGGCCTATAAAACAAACAATAACACACATGAGGAAAGTACTTCTTAAGTTCAGTCAAGTATATACAACCAAATGGGCAACACCTGCCCCAAAGCAAAGACTAGAAGACAGGAAGGGACAGGAGAACTGGCTGAATGGATATGGAGAACCCAGGGTGGAATGGGAAAAGGGGAGAGTGCTGACACACTGTGGGGATTGCAACCAATGTCACAAAACAATTTGTGTATAAATTTTTTGAATGAAAAAGTAATTTGTGCTGTAAACTTTTACCTAAAATACAATTTAAAAAAATCTCATTCAATCCTCAAAGGAGGGATGGGGCATTACGTTGAAGTAGTGGCATTTATAACATATTAAGCTATACTGGGGTTTTCATATAGTCTTCTCAACCAATTCTTATTTACTACGGGCAGGTTTTTAAATTGTATTTTAAAAAATTTTGTCTGTTTGCTCTTTACTTTTTCCCTTAGCTACTTCTGTACGTCCAGACCTTATCTTTGAAGAGCCAACTAAAATGAGAAATTCTACATTTATCCATATATGTAAATTACATCATGATCCTCTTCATGTAGATTATTTATGTTCAGTATGTGAGTTTGCTGATATAAGATCATTTTACCTATTCTGTAACTCATAAATCCAGGAAAAACCAAATAGATAAAATACACTTGAAGAAAATAGGAGCAACAAGAACTTGATATCCTGCTGTAAGGGATTGTATTGATACAATAACTTGGGAAACCAGCTTGGCAGTATCTAGAAAAGCTGAAAATAGTCACCCTATGGAGTAACTCTTGTACACATGTGCATGTTCAAGAATGTTCATAATGGCATGCATGGTTTAAAACTGCATAGTCCAATGTGAGATGAAATTGACAACAGCAACTCAAAAGGTTTGGTGGGAAGCCTAGGGGACAGTGAGTTGAAGATAATGGTGATGGAATAATTTGGAAAAGGATAGTGAGAATAGCAGCACAACTGGAGGAATATAATTGATGTCACTGAACTGTACATGTAGAAACTTTTAAAATGATGTAACTTTGGCTATGTATATTTTCACCAGAAAAAGGGTCCTCAAGGTCGAGAAGGGAGAGTGTTGACATGTCGTGGGGTTGTTAACCAATGTCATAAAAACAATGTGTGTCCTGACTGTTTAATGAGAAACGATTCTATAAACCTTCATCTAAAGTACAATAAAAAAATTTTTTTTTTAAATAAAAAAAAAAAAAACACTTCCAAAAACTGTATAGTCCAAAAACTGGAAACAACTCTAATGTCTGTTAACAATAGAATAAACGCTATATTCACACATCAAAAATAAATGATCTCAGCCCAGATCTGAAACCATTCCAGAAGCCAACTCTTCAGACAAAGATTAGAGTGGACTATGGGATGTAAAATGATACTTGTAATGAGAGTGCTTAGCTCAAGTAGACACATGAGACTAAATGGGCAGGTCCTGTCTGGAGGTGAGAAGAGTAGGCAAAAAGGAACAGGAGCTGGTTGAATGGACACGGGATATCTGGGGTGGAAAGGAAGAGTGTGCTGTCACATTATAGGGAGAGCAGCTAGGGTCACATAGCAATGGGTGTATAAATTTTTGTATGAGAAACTGACTTGAACTGTAAACTTTCACTTAAAGCACAATAAAAAAAAAAAAGATCTCACACATACAATAACGTGGTTGAATCTTAAACACAAATGTTTATTGAGAGAAGCCAGACGCACAAGAATACATTACTGTATGATTCCATTTATATAGATTTCAACAACAAACAAAAACAAACCATACATTTAGGGATGCATACTTACAGGGTAAAAGCAAGGGAATATTTATTGTAACAAGTAGATCAGTAGTTATTTCTTAGGGGAGGGGTTGTGCTAGGTGAGGGAGGCAGGAAGGGCTTCTAGTCTATTTTTTGGTGTTTACATGGGCATCTGCTTTATAATTTGTTAGTTTGTATATTTATGTTTTGTGCACTTTTCTGTATGTGTTGCATTTCCAGTAAAAAAAGCGTTTAAAAAAGAAAGAAAGATCAAAGGTTTTTTATTAATCTTTATTTAAAAACAACCAGGGGCATCTTGGTTGTTCTTTTTTTCTGGTTGTCATCCAGGCACAAAGTAGCTATTGAAAGCATATGATAAGCAATTGTTTAATGAAGTCATAACATTCAAAGGGTAGTCAAATAGGTACAGTATAAAAAATAGTAAAAGATGCAAGGCAGAACACATTTTAATACTGGTACAGTGGCAGTAGCAGCTTTGCAAATGTTTAGCTATAGAACTTCTATGGCATTTTTCCTATGAACCTTTTATCACATAAGAATGATCAAATCATTTAAATGACATAGTACATGGAGGCTTATGAATATTATAAACATTATATGTGCCTCATAAAATATCATTCCATTAAAATAGTTGATTCTCAGTGATCATTCCCTTTATTCTTACATAATCTAAGTGTAATTAACAGGTTAAAAAACAAAACAAAACCCAACTTTTACTAGAAGCAGACATGTCTCTTAACTTCACTGTTTTCATTTTCATCCAGAAGTGCGTTGTAAATATAATGTGGGTCTCATAAACCAGACTCCCTCTTAGGTGATAAACATTGTCCCCAGGTCTGCTTTCCAGCTTGGTGACTTTCCAACAATGCCGTACTTGGCATTTCAGAGGAATGTTTATTTTGTGGAAATACAAGCACTTCTAGAAATTTCCTAAAGTATCTTTTTAGCCTAAGCTAACCTGGGGACATTTTAAGGATATTATCTGTGTAGCTACTTCCTGTCAGGCTAGCTGTACACACTACAGCAACTCTAGTAAAGAGCTGAATCCCGTTGTTTCCTATCCATGAGGAGCTGTTATCCTTATTCTTGGAACTGCAGAGGAGGTTATCAACATCAAAGCTAATCCTATGCCTTCAGTCACATTCGCTCTAATGAGAGTTCCCCTTCCTCCACGATACATAGCACATATGTGATAGGGATCCTGGCTGAAGCTACAGTAATATCTACTGCTGAGCAGACAAGTACGGCCAAGCTGGGGCTCCCCAGATTTACCTGGCAACTTTGTAGGAGACTGGCTTGATAGAGTTGCTGGATAAAACATTGGATGCCCAGTTACACTGGAATTTCAGATAAACAATGAATAATTTTTTAGTATAAATATGCCCCATGTAATGTATGGGACATATTTATGCTAAAAACATATTCACTGTTTACTAGGACATATTTATACTAAAACATTGATACGGAATTCAAATTTGAGTGTCATGTATTTTTAATTGCTAAATCTGGCAACCCTAGAGTGGCAAGAAGGACCAAAATCCCGTGAGAGGTGCATTATTACTGTTTTTGAGTCCACGGGGTGGTAAAGACAAGGAAATAGGCCTCACAGAGAATCTGCTCTGGACCTCAGAGAATCCTTGGCACGGCATGATGGAAAATATCTGGTTTTTTGAACTCCTCATGAAATTTATGTTTATCTGCCTGAATCTGGGTAGTAGATACAAAAGTAAGGAATATTTCAGACTTCAGTGAGCCAGATATAACTAACTACTGTAATTAAGGTGCTAGAAATGATACACCTTAATTTTTTAGGTTACTTTGGGCCTTTTACTTCAAGTTCTTTTTGGAAAATAGTTGAATTTGGACAGAGAATAATCTTAACTCTTAATTGTAGTGAAGAGAAATAATATCAAGGGAGGCTTTTTAATTGATCAAGCTGCCAGTGTAGCACTTAATAAATAGATGAAGCTTACAGGCTAAAATAATTTTCCTTTCAATTACCAAAGAGCCCCTACAGAATGAAGAGAATTAGTGGGGCCATTACCTTCCTCCGCTGACTATTCCCAAGATAAACAGGAACCAGGCTATTTTCCTAATGTCATACTGTACCTATACAGTACAAACTAGTTTTCTCTCCAACCTAAATTGGATAATTCCAGGGTAAATATCATTTTGGAGATTCCATTTTTGCATCTGGTTATCTTACAGATCATGCAAACTGAAAATATTCAAATACCCACTTTGTACCACAGTATATGTAGGGTCCACACATCTAATTCTTCACATGGAATTATATATTAGAATAATATATAATACTACATCTTGAAAAAAAAGAAAGGATTTGGAATGGTTTTATCTGTATATTTTATGGGTCTTTACATGAAGTCAGCAGAGTTGATATCAGTTTTGTTCACCAAAGCTACTTGCAGAAGGTGGCAGAGTTTGTGTTGGGCTTCTGGGGTGAGCCAGCTGTGAAAAGAAAAATCCCATTTAGAATGTGAATTATGTTCCTATAGCCGATACACCTCTTCTTCCTCACTAACAGAACTCAGATTTTGTTCAGGGCAGCAAGGTGTCCACGTTCTAAAATCCACATTCCTAAACTTCCCAGCAGAAGTTCCCGAATAGGCTTGTTTAAAGAGGTGAGAGGTAGCTTAGTTGACATACTCTTTGCCCTTCTTCTTCTTGCCTGGTATGTGGACATGAGGCTTCAGGAAATGTGGTCATCTGGACCACAAGGATGAAAGCCACACATTAAGGATGGAAGACAAGGATAATGACATGGATGCTGATGACATGGTAAAGCTGCTGCACCCTTTGTGGACTGCCTACTTCCCAAGGGTAAGAAACACAAGCCCTTATTTTGTTAAGCCACTACAGTCAGGTTTCTGTTACCTGCAGCCAAATGCAAAACCTAACTGATACACTTGTTTCACAATTAAAGGAAAAAAATGAGGCCTAAATGCTGGGTAGGAAAAGTCATTCTATATCTAACAACAGTTTTTACTAGACATTTTCCTAGTAAGTGAATTTGGAGGAGCACAATGGACGGTATTAAGTTTTATCTATAATTTTTATTGTTCAATATGTTGCTTTATTATTTATTATATTTTCATCTGTTTCCACAGTACCCATTTCACTGTACTAGTTATGGGGCAGGGCAGGAAAGACAAGGATCCTAGAGCTGAACAAAAGACCTGGCTTAGTCCCTCAGGGAGGCTTCCACCCTCTAGTCCTGTCCTTCACAATTTGGGGTATCACCAAAGATCTGGATCTTCAAGGCTCTGCAAGTCCTATTGCAATGCTCTAGGAGAAGGAAGGAAGAAGCTGGTGACACCTCCAGAGAAGGCTGTGCAGTGCCCAGGAGAACCACACAAATTGCAGGAGGGAAACCAAGCTGTCCAGAAGACGGCACTGATTCTAAAGTAGGAAAGCTAGGAAAAGACAGTGCTGGGGTGGGAGAGTGTTGTGAGGACCATGGCATAGGCAGTGAAGTCTGTGATGTGTCTCTGTTGCCAGAGGAAGAAGGAAGCATAAGCTTCATAGCAAAGAGGCCAGCAGCCTTTTGTCCCAGCACCCCAGTAGGGGTGGTGGAATGATGGCTGCTCCTCACAGGTCCAATGCTAGAGGCTATCAGGAAGATGACAGAGACAAATAGGGTTTAGAAGAAATCATAGCAGGGCCAGCTGATCCACTGGATTTGGGTGTGTCAGTCATACACACAGGTGACAAAGAAAAAAGCGGTCAAGACTTTTTCCTATAGCCCTGCATGCTATGACTCCCATCTACTCCTGTTGTGATCTTTCATCCTAGTATTTCATCACTATCTATCTTGCTATATTACAGCCATACTGGCTGCTTTTCAGTTCCTTGGCTAGGCTATGACCCCTACCCCCGCACGGAACCCTCACACAGGCTGTTCTTTTTACCTGGCACCCTCTCCACCCTGACATCCATGGTAGGCCCTCCTCCATACTCCAGACATACTCCTCCCAGTTAATGCCTATTCATCCTTCAACTCTCAGCAAGCATCATCACTTCCTAAGGGAATCAAATCTAAGGACAATCCTTAGATTGTCCAAGTTACATTAAGTTCTTATGGGTTCCCATGAAACCTTATTCCTTTCCTTCACAGTACTTACTTTGGTGTGAAATTATACAAATACATGATTATTTGATTAATGTCTATCAACCCCACTAGACTGAAAGCTCCAAGATGGTAGATCTCTGCCTGCTTTTGCTTACCACTGTATCCCTGGTACTCTACCACAGTGCCTGGCATATAGGAAAACCCCAAAAACCAAACCCATTGCTGTTGAGCCGATTCTGACTCATAGCAACCCTACAGGACAGAGCAGAACTGCCCCATAGGGTTTCCAAGGAGTAGCTGCTGGATTCTAACTGCCAATCTTTTGGTTAGCAGCCGAACACTTAACCACTGTGCCACCAGGGCTCCAGGCATATACCAAACCAAAAACCAAACTTATCGCCATCGAGTCGATTCTGACTCATAGTGACCCTGTAGGACAGAGTAGAACTGCCCCATAAGGTTTCCAAGGAGCGGCTAGTGGATTCAAACTGCCAACCTTTTGGTTAGCACTGTTAACCACTACACCACCTAGCATATAGGAAGTGCTTAATAAATACTTATAAAAGGAATTAATAAAAATCAGACTTTCATTGCTAAAACAGAGATGATAATCCTAGCTATCTCATGGAATTTTATGAAGCCTAAATATGAAAATGCTTTGCAAAGTATATCAAAACCAAAAAACAAACTCTTTGCCATAGAATCGATTCAAACTCATAGTGGCCCTATAGAACAGAGTAGAACCGCCCCATAGAGTTTCCAAGGCTGTAAATCTTTACAACAGTGGACTGTCATATCTTTCTCCCGCAGAGTAGCTGATGAGTTCAAACTGCCTATCTTTTGGTTAGCAGCTGAGTGCTTAACTACTGTACCAACAGGGCTCCTCTGTAAAGTATAAGAACTATTAAAAAATATTAATACTATTACGAATGCTGCTTAGATTATGATTCTAAATAAACGATTTTGAAGAAAGGAAACAAAATCATTTTTTCTAAAGGCTTACCTGAAACTTTCTCCTCAAGGCCCGGGTCACTACTGGGGTCAGTCCAGTTCCTGTGTCCATATTTTCTTTATTGGTAAGAGGGGTTCCACCTGGGCTCCTGTAAAGGTATTGCAAACATTAGGAGCTGTATTTTATACTAACTTTTCAAATGGATTTGAAAGCATAAAAGTAAGCGTGTATACCTCTCTACATTGACTTTTCTAAGTAGTTTCCGTAGATCTATCTGGCTTTTACCAGGAGTTCTAATAAAATAAATGTATAAAAGTTAGATTGTGCTAGATTTTGTCATTTTTCTAAAAGCAAAACAGTCATTTTTACAGGCAGTTTCCTACAAAGTAGTTCTATGCATTACATTAAAAAATAGCAGTAGATGCTGATGGGAAAATAAGGTGATGTAACCATTAGAATAAGTAATACTTCTTGACTCAGTAATTACATATGTAAGAATGTATCCTAGGAAAAAACTCAGCTATGTACACAGATAATGGGCAAGGATGTTCATTAAAAAGTTATAGAAATAAAATGCCTAAATAAAGTCATAAGCAACCTAAACATCTCAAAATAGGATGTTATTAGAATATGAAATTTGTATACAATGGACTACATACATTGAAGAAGTCAAAATGATATTTCAAAATAATTCTTTAATAATATGGGGAAAAGTTCATGGCACATTAAATGGGACACACACAAACACACACACCAAATTCTCTTGATTCCAAGACATGCTCATTTTTATATTTTATTATTTCTGAAATCAGGCTGTTTTTAAAATTATTGATAGTATTTCTTTTTACCCCCAAATCTGTTATTAAATCAAAAGTGTATCCTTTAGTAGAGAGAGTCTTGGAAGCAATAGAGCATATGCCTAGAGAAAGACTAAAATGATAAAGAAAACAATATGTCAACAGTGGTTATCTCCAATGATAGGATTATTTGGATGATTTTTATTTCTTTAAACTTCTCTGTAGATCTCAACTTCTCTACAATGAGCATATACAAGTTTTCAAGTCAGAAGTAAGCAAAAATTTACTCTTTTAGGTAGTGGTAGAGCATATTACTGTGAACTTTCTTACATTAAGACATTTGTAACTCGAGTTGATAACACTTTGGAGTTAGGTTTCAAGGTAACACGCTGCAGGTCAGAGACGGTAACTAGGGGATTCCGTGTCTTCGGTGATAGTACAAGCTTTAATTGCAAGATGAAACATTATTAAAAACACATTTTTAAATGTCATTCGAAATTTAAACACTCTGAAACAACAAATATTTGAGTGCTGAGTATGTGTAAGACATATCTACTACCCTACTCAATTTTTACTCCAAAGCTTTGAAGTATGTCTCTACTTCTTTAAGCTAATAGTTGGTAGCTAACACTGCCTAATTAAATAATTCTGGGATCTACACATTATGTCGAAGAGATCCAAAACTACTAAAATAAATCAAATACGTTTCTTGGAATGACTTCTATACGTAAGGCTTATGCTTATTTTCTATAAAGGAATAACCAGATTAAAAGCTAAAAGATTGCTCTTGACCTTATTGCCATCTTGTTAGAAACCTCCAAAGCATAAGAGCCAAGTGGAGAAAGAAGTGAACACGCAGGCTGAAGGGCAAAAGAAGAGGGATGAAGCAGAGGTCCAAGTAAACTACTAGCATGTGCACGCATGGAGGTCACAACAGCAGGAATATGGAATGCCGGAGGCAGGGGACGTTGGTACAAGTCGTTGACTGCGCGCTACTGTCTAGAACTTCTCTCTCAATGGATCTAGAATTTCACTACCATCCAATTGCCATGAACACCTGAGAGATACACCTTGCTTGTTCCAAACCAATCCCTTTTGATCCTTTGCCTTAGATCTCTGACATCCTGGACTAGTTCTGTTCTCAGTGTAACATGAGCACAATAAATAATCTGTTCTGCTGTCTCAGCTGAAGAAGAAAAAAAAAGTGCTAAAAAGCCAAGTATATGGTCAATGCCATACCTTCTTCCTTTCATCGAAACTTTGTGTCTTCTTTAATTTCACAGTCAGTAGATCTTTAACTGTTATCTGCATGGGTCCATCTCTTTTTAATGGTCCAGCCTTAAAATACACGGTGAGGTGAGAATTCATTTGGAACCAGTATATCTAGTCAAACGCAAATCTGATTCTAGTTTTTAAAGACTTAGAATTAACAGTATACACTCTTATTTACCCTAGGAACCTACCAAATTGTATCTACTCAACCAAGAATAATCCTGCATTCAGTACCCACGGATGCTGAGGCTATTGAAAAGGTATTCATCAAAATTTAAGGCTTTGATAGTAAATAATAGATAGGCTAATTCCCTACAACTGCATCTTCCCCAGGAGTCATTATAATAAGGCAGAAGCTGAAGAAGTTGCTCAGATCAAAGTGAGGTTTTGCCTGAATTACCAGAAAAATTACTCTAGCTCCCACGGAGCAAGAATGTATAGTCAGAACAGTTTACATTAGTCAAATATAACAATAGGCTCTATATTTAACTCAGATAGCCATTTTAAACCAATTATATTTCTAATAAAAATCCTACAGATTTTTAAAGAGGGTGGTGCCTTTATCTTAGTGGTTCACAAATATTCAGGTCTCCTTGGCAGACAAGTAACTGTAATGCAGACTGGTTCTCCAGTCTAATGAATAAACTTTAGAATCTGCCAACTCTTTTTATGCTGACTTCACTCACTAAGCAAACTTCTGTTCTTACTGTGGTTTCCTAGGAAAGTTTTCTTTTTTGTAAAAGGATATGCTGAAGAGCTAATAGGAATCTTCAACTCTACTGGATTTGATTCATTTAGACTTTTCAAAAAAGAAAAACACTTTCATTCCTAATTCTGGATTTCACGAGTTCTCAGGGAAATGAGTTGATAAAAACACAGTAACTGACATAATTAAGATATGAAATCAGAAGACTATGTAGCCTTTCTGTCAAAGGCCTTAGCTCAGCTTTAAAAGGCCATGTGGCTTTGCTTATATATTACACACTGACCAAAACGCATTGTTACTAGAATGTTTCCTACCTGAAGTGATTTAGGGCGATCAGCTTTTCTGGGCAGCAAAGGTGCTATCGGTGGTGGAGGAGGAGGTAGAGGAGGAGGTGGAGGAGGTGGAGGTGGTGGAGGAGGTGGAGGAGGAGGAAGATGGCTGGCTAGTTGGGGCAGTGCAGCAGGAAGTGCAGCTTGGGATTCTCCAGGGATGGTGAGCTCACAGGCAGGCACACATGTAAGTTTACCACTCAAGTGACACATATGACCACAGCTTGGGCAAGAAGAATTTTCTGAGACAGTCTGGAAGAAGACATTACATTTGGCAAATCAATAATGAGTTACTTGGGTTATTGTAGCTGAGAGTAATCAAAATAATAAACAAAAAAAACCTGTTGCCGTGGAGTTGACTCCAACTCATGGTAACCCTATGAGTTTAGATTATAACTGTGCTCCAGTGTTTTCAATGGCTGATTTTTTTTGGAAGTACATCTCCAGGTCTTTCTTCCAAGGTCCCTCAGGGTAGATTTGAACCTCTAACCTTTCAGTTAGCAGCTGAGTGCATTGACTGTTTAAACCACCCAAAGACTCCAATCAAAATAATAGCTATCATGTATTGAATGCATTCTCAGAGTACTTCACAATATTTTCTCATTTAATTATCACAAGTCCATTCACTCACTCACATTCATTCATTCACTCAAATACTTGTTAAGTATGTGCTATGTGCCGGGCACTGTGGGTACAATGGAAGCCCTGTCTGTCACTTCATGGAGCTTACAGTCTGGTGAGGGAAGACAGACATTAAACACACAGGTTGTTAGGTGCCGTCAAGCTGGTCCTGACACTTAGCGACCCTATGTACAACAGAACACATACATACAAACACACACACACAAACAAAACAAAAGTACAGTGCAATAAGAGCAAAAGTGTGCTATGAGCATAAATAGCTAGAGGCCCTGGCCTGGCATGTTGTTGTGTGCCATCACATCAATTCTGACTCACAGCCACGCTATAGAACAGAGTACATCTGCCCCATAGGGTTTCCTATGCTGTAATCTTTATGGGAGCAGATCGCCAGGTCTTTTCTCTAGTGGAGATGCTGGTGGGTTCAAAGCTCCGACCTTTCAGTTAGCAGCCAAAAGCTTAACCATTGTGCCACCAGGGCTCCTGGCCTGACATTGGGAGTGATATTTAGCCATAATCTCAAGGATGAATTGGGACTTACCAGGTGAAATGCTATGAGGACTAGGGGAAGAAAGTTCCCGACGGAGGGAAAAATACTTAATGCAACCAAGAACATAGTACACTCATGGAATTGACAAAATGGCCAAAGGACATTATGACCCTATGAAGATGGTATCATCTCCATTTTATAGATGATGAAACTGAGGCCCAGACAAGTGAGGCGATTTGCCCTTTTCCTCCTCTGGCTAGTTCAATTTGAGGTACAAATTCTGACAGCAGGGTTGAAATCCCAGAAAGTGCTCTCCAAGCCAATGAGTACAATGTTGATTCTCTGGGTTTTAGACATTAAGATAGGGAAGGGCCTTGCCTCAGGTAGTTTGGGAAAATAGGTTTTTCCTGCCTGTAGCAGTCAGAAAAGTAGAAACCATTCTGAGTATTTAAAATAGGAAAGGAGGGGGCACAGGACTGGGCAGTGCTTCTCGCTCCATTGTGCATGGGGTCACCATGAGTAGGCAGCTAACAGCAACAACATAAAAGTCTTTTCCGCCTGGCTGTTGAGATGTGGTCTATAGACCACTTTTCCCTACTGCAATAGTTCCCCTGCTCTAATTACAAAAGTCTTTTCAAATAAACTCTCTCCTTCCCTAAGCACAAATTTGTTTTTAATTTGACAATACCAACCTTCAGTGCTTCCTGGAGCTTGCAGAATTCACTTTCTAAAATGCAAAACCGTTGTTTTAAACTGTGAAGTTCTTTGCGGCAGATGTGGGATGGAAAAATGGTGTCTTTCAATACTTCTAAACTCTGAAATCCAAAAATAAACAAGCATGAATTTTACGAACACTATGATAAGGAAAAAAAAAAAGGATAAGAAAGTGGTTTCATGTATATTTTATAGAACAAAAGGCAGAAATGACTCCATACTTTCATATTACTTGAGCTTAGTGCAGTGTGATAGATCACTTTTGTGTGTGGCCTTTCTAGCCATGGTGTTATAACTCCCACCAAAGGGATTGGCCAGTTTTGCCATCCTGCTGGGCTTGAAATGAGCCACCCCAGGGGCAGGAAGGGAGAAGCTACCACCACCACTGTATTGGTCATTTAGTGCTGTTATAACAGAAGTACCACAAGAGGATAACTTCAACAAAGAGAAACCTATTCTCTCACAGTCTAGTAGGTTACAAGTCCAAATTCAGGGTGTCAGCTGAAGGGGAAGGCTTTCTCTGTGCGCTCTGGAGGAAGGTCCTTGTCATCAGTCTTCTCTTGTTCTGGGAGCATCTCAGCCCAGGAACCTTAGGTCCTGGCTCTGCTTTCTTAGTGGTATGAGGTCCCCACTCTCTGCTTGCTTCCCTTTCCTTTTATCTCTTGTAAGATAAAAGGTAGTGCAGGCCACAGCCCAGGGAAACTCTCTTTACATTGGATCAGGGATGTGACCTTAGTAAGGGTGTTACAATCCCACCCAAATCCTCTTTAACATAAAATTACAATCACAAATGGAGGACAACCACACAATACTGGGAATCATGACCTAGCCAAATTGACAGATATTTTTGAGGGACACAATTCAATCCCTTACAAACACCAAGGAAGAAGAGCCAGCGCTTCCTTTGGACCTGGGATCCTGGCGCTGAGACGTTCCTGGAACCTGGAAACTATATATAGAGGGAGAGAGAGAGAGGGAGGGAGAGAGAGGGAGAGGGAGGGAGGGAGGGAAAGAGGGACGGGGGGGGAGAGGGGGAGAGAGGGAGAGAGAGGGAGAGAGGGAGAGGGGGGAGAGGGAGAGAGAGGGAGAGAGGGAGAGGGGGAAGAGGGAGAGAGAGGGAGAGAGAGGGAGAGAGGGAAAGAGAGGGAGAGAGGGAGAGGGGGAAGAGGGAGAGAGAGGGAGAGAGAGGGAGAGAGGGAAAGAGAGGGAGAGAGGGAGAGAGAGAGAACCATAAAGCTAAAGGCAGCAGAGACCCAGCAGCAGGAGAGTGTGAGCCTTTGGGCAGAGGCCTAGGGCCAGGGAGAGGCGTGCCTGCGAGCATGGCTGGGAAGAGGCTGTCTTGATGGAAGAACTGTATCCTAAGTGTTCCTGAGCCTGAATTGCAACCGTTACTTCCCTAATAAACCCCATAATTGTGAGTATTGACTGTGAGTTCTCTGTGGGCATTGCAATGCATCATCGAACCCAGCAGAGAAGTAGAACGTAACTTGGGAGGGATGGATGGTATCAGAATTGGTAAAGATGGCAGAGAAGGAAGGCATGCTGACCCCTGCATCATAAGAATCAGCCTCGGGCTGTTGATTTTGATTCTCCTTCCCCCTTTTGAAGTTAGAGGAGGTCAGACACTGCTCCCATGCTGTTTTTACACTTAGTCTGAGTGTTTTGCTCACCTGAGCATGCACACATGTGAACATATAAACCAAGTGTATACAAAAAAATATACTGCTGAAAACGGGTGTGTCAAACTCATACCTGGGCTATGCAGTTCTGGCACCAGCTATATATAGACCACACTCTATTTGTCCAAAGTTTTACTGCATCTTTAATATTGGGAAAATTGAAGTTACATGTTGACCTGAGCCAGCTTCTGCTATTGGGCGTATCTGTTGGAGGAATAACCACTCTGTAGGAGAAATAAAATAAAATAAAACAAATCAAAAAGTCTGAAATAGAATAATAGCTTCTAAATTAAACAAGAGGCCGGTTTTATAATATTACTCAGGAGCAGAGACTTCCTAAAGTCAAATTCTTCACTGAATTTTAAAATTCAGGGACTCCTTCATTTCAACAAATATTGATTACCTACTATGTTCAAGGCACTATGGATTCATGAAGAACAAAACTGACAAAAAGTCTGCCCTCATGGAGTTTATAGTCTCATGGGGGAAGAAAGATAAATCAACAACAACATACATGGTATATTAGATAGTGAATAAATGCTAAGGAGAAAAAGAGAAAGTAAGGAAAGAGGAATGTGAAATGGTGGGTAATGATGACATTTTAGACAGGTAGCTAGAGAAAGTCTCACAAAGAAGGTGACTTTTGAGGAAAAAAACTAAAGAAGTAAGAAGGCTAGCAATGCAAATATCTGAGTTTTTATTTGCTAAATCTGGTAACTGTATCCTAAGTTGATCAGATTGCTCTAATATTTTCTCTCTCCTACATTATGCCTTACCTTTCTGGTGACTGTGGGGGAGGAGGAGGTGCAATTAGCTTGGACAGAAATCTAGAGGCTTCTTTTTTCTTGAATAATTTTTTGGCTTTGGCTTTTTGCTTTCTTCTTCGTTGCTTGAACTTGGACATGATTTCTGTAGAGAAAAATATTTTAAAAATATTTTTTATTGAAGAATAATATATATATAATAATAACATATATGCAGAAATCATACATGTATAGTTCAATGAACTATCACAAAGTGAACACACGCTTGTAATTATCACCTCGGTTAAGAAAAAGGTAACTATCAGCACATCGTAATCCTGTGAAGTGGAAAAAAATTTAAAGCAGGATTTAAACTATCACTAGAGAGACTTTGGCTTTGGCATTACATTACTCTCTTAACTTTGCTTTGCTTTTCTTTATTAAATCAGATAAATTTCTCTTTATAACAGAAAATGACGATAGTTGGTTTATGGACAGTTATGAAAAGGCAATAGTTTCTTAGCCAGAAACATTTATGAAGGAAGGAACAAAATTAACCATTTAATGAATGTCCCTTTACTTTTAGGCGCCTTCACGTACATTTTCTCAGTTAATCCTCACTATCCTGAAAAGTGGCACAGTGGTTAAAAGCTCAGATGCTAATCAAAAGGTCAAAAGTTAAAATCCACCAGCTGCTCCTTGGAAACCCTATGGGGTAGTTCTACTCTGTCCTATAGGGTCACTGTGAGTTGGAATTGACTCAACTATAATGGGTTTGGTTTGTTTGTTTTTTTATACTGCAAAGTATTACCTGTGACAAGGAGGGTTTTTATTCCCATCTTTACATAAGAATAAACTAAGTTTAGAAAGAGTAGAGGATCTGCCTAATATGAGGCAATATGGTATTAAATCCAGATTTGTACTTCTCCAAACACCATGTCCTTTCTCATACACTGGGGTGCAATTAGTAGATTAAACAGATATACAACGAAATAACAATTTACTCCCAAATCTAAGGCATGAGTGTTTTAAAACATTTATTTTAAAGCATTTTAAAACACTATGCTGTATATTTTTATTTTAATCCAGATCCTTTTCTGAAGAAAATTAAGTCAGAGCTAGTTTGTGTTGAAGCTCCAGAAAGGCTTTGCTAATTTTAATTGTTGCTACCTGAGGAACGAACATGTTGCTATTCAAGTAGCAGAACTACAAATGGTCTCAATGTCTGAGCTCCTCCTGGGCTTCCTTCTCTTCAAATTTACATTTGAATAGGAACAATCTGCCTTTAAAATACACATTCATTAGGCTTTTGTGTACTCAGTAACCTTCCAGAACTTGGTATGCAGCTCTGCACTTCCTCTGCTCTCAGATTCCCCTAGCTGAAAAACCTCTCCTAGTCTGGCTGCCTGTTGTAAAAACTGAGAAGTGGCTGGATTCCAGGAGTGGTGGACTTGCAGAGGGCACCCCTAATGGCAGTGGGGTGACAGTGCACGTATCTACAGCTCTCCTGCTAGGAGTGAAAGTTCTTGATAGTATCTTATTGGACTCATGGTCAGGTTCCGAAATAACTGAGCGTTCTTCTTAATTGTTCTTAAAGGCTTGGGAGATACACCAAAACAATGGCTGACTCACCTTACTGTATCACTTTCGTTTCCTGATAAAGTAATGAAGGAAGGCCAAGTTGGGATTATCACACACACATACACACACACACACATGAAACAAACAATCATTACCATGGAGTGACGACCCCATGTGTTACAGAGTAGAACTGCTCCACAGAGTTTTCTTGGCTGTAATTTTTACAAAAGCAGATGGCCAGGCCTTTCTAAATTGGCACCGCTGAGTGGGTTCCAGCCACCAACCTCTAGGTTAGTGTTGTTGTTGTTAGGTGCAGTCAAGTCGGTTCCAACTCATAGTGACCAGATGTACAAGAGAACAAAACACTACCCAGTCCTGCACCATGCTCACAATCGTTGCTATGTTTGAGCCCATTGTTGCAGCCACTGTGTCAATCCATCTGGTCCAGGGTCTTCCTCTTTTTCACTGACCCTCTACCTTACCAAGCATGATGTCTTTCTCTAGGGACTGGTCACTCCTGATAACATGTCCCAAGTATGTGAGACAAAGTCTCTTCATCTTCGCTTCCAAGGAGCACTCTGGATGTATTTCTTTCGAGACAGACTTGCTGTCTCTTCTGGCAGTCCATGGTATATTCAATATTCTTCACCAACACTATAATTCAAGGGCATCAATTCTTCTTTGGTCTTCCTTATTCATTGTCCAGTTTTTGCACGCATATGAGGTGACTGAAAACACCATGGCTTGGGTCAGGTACACCACCCAGGGACAAGGGGTGCCTAAAGGGTTGATTTTTTTTTTAACTTAAAATAACACAAAAACATTTTGAATGAATATATTTAGGAAAGCTTCCCAGGAACCAGCAATCTTGTGGTTCTCTGAAGAAAAAGATTACCAAAGTCAAAACTTTTGCCATCGAGTCGATTCCAACTCATAGCAACCCTATAGGACAGAGTAGAACTGCTCCATAGGGTTTCCAAGGAGCAGCTGGTGGATTCGAACTGCCTACCTTTTGGTTAGCAGCTGAACTCTTTTTTTTAAAATCTTTTAATTTATTTATTATTATTTTTTAATTGTTGTGCTTTAAGTGAAAGTTTACAATTCAAGGTAGTCTCTCATACAAAAATTTATACATACATTGTTATGTGACCCTTGTTGCTCTCCCTGTACTGTGACAACACACTCCTCCTTTCCCTCCCTGATTTCCTGTGTCCATTCAACCAGCTCCTGACCCTCTCTGCCTTCTCATCTCGCCTCTGGACAGGAGCTGCCCATTTAGTCTCATGTACCTACTTGAGCCAAGAAGCACACTCTTCACGAATATCATTTTATGTCCTATAGTCCAGTCTAATCTTTGTCTGAAGAGCTGAGCAGCCGAACTCTTAACCACTGCAATACCAGGGTTCCGAAGAAGGTTAAACTCTCTTCAAATCCATGCCCAGGACTTGCTACGGAGAAGTGCCAGTTGTAACTTCTATCCAGGGTCCAGCGTTCACTGGATGGGACCCTCAGTATCTGAGACTCCCATGGCAACTTCCTCTTCCTTGTCCTCCATTTGCCCTTCACAGCCCTTCCTCCCTTCTTCTCTTGATGTCTTTTTCAAGGATCAAACTGCCTCTTGCTTCCCTTATTCCTGTATCCACCAATCTGTAAGTTTTGAAAATACACTTTAAAATGGAGCTGGACCTTCTGGTTAAACTTGTGGATTGGCTTTATCTCCACTCCAGTGTTGTGCTGGAGTTGGCACCCAGTGCTATGAGTCAAAATCTACTCCACAGCAACGGGTTACATTTTCTAGAAGCTTGGGAGCCAGTTGTTAAACACAGCTACTATTAAAATTAAATTATATAAATTTACAATTAAATTAATTATATCTAAAACAAAATATTAAATACTTAAAACTTATCATTTCCTAATTATTTTAAGACATTTTACTATAATCTATGCCCTTCAGGTTTTTTACGCTACTGTGCCAGTATGGCGAAAATATTGTGGAAAGGTGTATTACTGCTCATCTCCTCGGAACTCCACATGAAGTGACTTCACACTGGAAGCTTGAAATTGGTCACGGTGGGAATATTTACATTATGGAAATTGTAAAACACTGCTACAAATGAGGGTTTATTTATTAGTTTTTTAATTGTTAAAAAAGTGATGAAGAAAATGTTAATAATGCAGATTAAACTTAGAAGTGACTTGTCTGTAGTGGTTACACTGTGACTAGCACAAAAAATTGAGGAAATACTCTTCCAGTATTCAGAAACTATTATCTCATCAAGCAAAGAAGTTGCTCCCATCACTGAAGGGAAGTTCCAATATAAGTGGTGTTTCACTTTTGTCTTACTCCAAACAAAAATATTAACCAGCATTCATATTAGGATTGTACTTGTCTGTAACTTGCATCCATAGATTAGCTACAGAAACACCAGTTTTGTAAAAATTAACAATAGCATTTTGTGAGAATTATTTGCCTATATGGAATTTACAGTAATGAGTTCTGTACATTTTATTGTTCTTTATAATAATAATTATATTATTATCACTTTATATTGGTAAAATTTCTTAAAAACGTGTATGTATATACATGCATTTTATTTATGTATATATATGTGTGTGAATATATATATGTGTATGTGTGTATGCATATGTTTGTTAAACATTTATTAATACACTACTGCTCCACTCCCTTCTGAAACATCATGAAAAAGGCAGTAAGGGAATAAGAAAGGCATAAATCCATAAGGACAGAATGGGAACAGAGACTATAGTAGATGGTAGATGTTACCGAAATATAGAAAATGGAAAGGAATGAATGAGTGGTAACTGACTTGACAGAGCAAAGGAAAGCTGAGGCTTAACTGCCTGAGACAGGGAAGCCAAAATGAAGCAAGCCAATTCCCAGAACCCTGCAAAGATTTGGGAATTGATAAGCCCTTGGCTGCTAACCAAAAGGTTGGTGGTTTGAACCCACCAGACTCTCTGAGGGAGATAAGACCTAGTGATCTGTTTCCATAAAGATTATAGCCTAGGAAACCCTTTGGGGCAGTTTTACTCTGTCCTAATGGGTCATTATGACTCGAAATCAACTCGGCACAGAGCAACAAAACTAACCCAGGAGTCCCTGGGTAGTGCAAATGGATAAAACACTTGGTTAATACTCAGCTGCTTGAAAGTTGGAGGTTCAAGTCCTAAGGCACTTTGGAAGAAAGGCCTGGTGATCTACTTCTGAAAAATCAGCCATTGAAAACCCTATGGAGCAGCTTTACTCTGACACATATGGGATCACCATGTGGCGGAATCAACTCAATACCTCAGAAGGTTTGAGGCAGGGCTAAAAATAGGATTGACTGAGAGTTTTATAAGGATTGGATAGACCTCTGGATTCTGTCCTCCAGTCTTTATAGATAGAAACTACTTCACCTTCATGCTCTTTCCCCTGTTATTCCTAGTAAAAACAGACAGGCTCATTCTCTGAGAAGCTGAACCAGAGAGGCTCTGGATTCTGGGGCACCAAGCACACAGCAGGGTCATGTGTTACCATATAGAAGACAGGGAATGACCCAGAGCCAAAAAAGAGACTTTTAG